AAAAAAAAAAAATTCCAAAAATTAAGAATAAAATGGACCACTGACACATTTAATGGTGAAAAACTCAATGTTTTAACCCTAAGATGAGGAATAAGGCACTCCTATTCAGTATCACACCAGAGATCCTACCCATTGAAATAAGGCAAGGAAAAAAAGAAAAAAAAGAAGACAAATAGGAAAGAAAAAAATAAAATCATCTCCATTCTGAAGATATAATTTGTGCTATGAAAAATCCAAAGTATCTATAATAAAACTACTAGAACTAATACATCAATTTAGGAAAGTCACAGTATACAAAGTCAATATATAAAAATCAACTATTTTTATGTTGTACAATGAAAATTGAAATTAAAATACTATTTATAATAAACTAAAATCCAAAAAGGAGAGCAAGGGAAAGCAAGACCAAGGAAAAAAACACAAGATCCAAAATCACCGTAGGAACAAATCTAACAAAATATAGATTAACTGTACATTTAAAAATATATATACATATATACGTATATGAAAGAAATCAGAGAAAACTGTGTAAATAGATATTCTCTGTTCATGAGTTGAATGATTCAATATTGATAATATCAATTATCTCCAAAATCAACTACAGATTCAACATCCTCCCAAACTCGCAGCACAATTTTTTTGTGGAAATTCAAAAGGTACTTCTAGAATTCATATGGAAAAGCAAAAAACTAAAATAGTTGAACAATTCTGTAAAGAACAACAAAGTAGAAGTAGTCATGCTACTTCATTTCAAAGACACTATAAAGCTCTAGTGATCAAAAGAATATAGTACTGGCAGAAGGGCAAGCACAGATCTAAGGAATAGAAAATAATCCAGAAATACACTCAATTATTTATGGTCAAAGGTAATTTAATAGAGAAAAGACAGTCTTTTCATCAAATAGCACTAGGACATTTGAACAACAGTCCAACTCCCAGGTATTCTCCCAAGAGAAATAAAAACATATGCTCACATGAAAATCTGTGCACAAATGTTTATAAGGATTTTATTCATAATTGCCAAAAACTGGAAAGCTACACAAACATCC